TTGTATATTGTCAACCCACAAATGTCAGTGATACATAACATAAGACGTGCTGAAGTTGCTTTTGGTCTCGTACTCAATCGCATTGTCAGTGTCGTGCGCTTGCTTAGCCCTTTGTTGTGATTAACAGTAAAGTGTGTTCAGCTGAATGAAGTTTCCATTTTGTCAAACGGGTATTAAAAAATGTTAGTATACCGCGGCAGCGGTCGCAGCAGCCCTCGTGTGAAGACCGAAGAGTGTAAAGACCATGGACTCTACCATGCGACTCCACCGGGTAGGGACATAAGTATTGTTTTTGATTCATCCTCTTTTCTACACCTTGCTTCACTTCTGTTTCAGTTTTTATGACTAACTCTTACTATGTGTTTCCATATCCCTACTATTACTACCACTCGCAAACCACACATCGCACACTATAGGCAGCGTAATCCTAACAACCTGCGCACTTTGCCGATGTCTGCTAAGACACTACTTTCTTTTTCTATTGGTCTCTGGAATTGTCAGTCTGTAGTAAACAAAACAGATTTTACATCCATTTCTAGTCATTCAAGACTAAACCTCATGGCCCTGACAGAGTCATGGATCAAACTAGAGGACACTGCTACACCTGCAGCACTCTGCAATAATTTCTCATTTTCCCACACTCCCCGTCTGACTGGAAGAGGTGGAGGTACTGGTCTGCTAATCTCTAATGATTGGAAATGTATTCCTTTACCTTCTCTGGGTATTAACAGCTCCTTTGAATCACATTCAGTCACTATTACCCACCCTTTTAAAATCCATTTTGTAGTTGTTTATCGACCCCCATGACCACAAGGTAACTTCTTGGATGAATTAGATGTGCTGCTCTCAAACTTTCCTGAGGATGGTACTCCCCTAGTTATGCTTGGAAACCTCAACATCCACCTAGATAAACCTCGGGCTGCAGACTTCCACACTCTGCCTGCCTCTTTTGATCTCAAGAGAGTGTTAACTACGGCTATTCACAAATCAGGCAACCAACTGGACCTTATTTACACATGACACTGATCCACTGATCATGTACTGGTTACTCCACTGCACACCTCAGATCACTTCCTCCTCACTCTTAACCTCAACATGGTTCCTGACACAACACAAACCCCTCCACATGTCATCTTTCTACGTAACCTATGCTCACTCTCACCCTCCCGGCTATCTGCTATGGTTTCATCTTCGCTTCCTCCCCCTAAACAGGTAGCATCTCTTGATGCTAACAGTGCTACTGATACTTTCTGCTCCACTCTTAAATCTTGTTTAGACATTGTCTGCCCCTTGTCTTCCAGGCCAGCCCATACCACCCCTTCTGCCCCTTGGCTGTCTGATGTTCTCCGCGAACATCGTTCTAAGCGCAGGGCTGCTGAAAGGGTGTGGCACAAATCCAAAAATCCTACTGACCTTAATGTGCATCAGTCACTCCTCTCTTCCTTCTCTGCTAATGTCTCCACTGCTAAAAGGACATACTATCATAACAAAATTAACTCTTTAGAAACAGATGCTCTTTAAAACATTTTCCTCGCTCCTTTGTCCTCCTCCTCCCCCTCCTTCATCAACTCTAACAGCTGACGACTTTGCCACGTCCTTCATTAATAAAATTAAAACCATCAGTGCACAATTTTCCACACCACAATCTGTCACGCACATCTTACCAGCAAACATACACTCATTCACATCCCTCTCTTCACTCTCAGAGGCGGAAGTCTCCAAACTCATCCTTTCTAATCATCCTACTACTTGTCCGCTTGATCCTATTCCATCTCATCTCCTTCAAGCCA